ATAAAATAAGAAATAAGGCTATGTTATTTTCTCATATATTTTGTTACAACACACTGAACCTAATTCCTCAAGGCATGTAAACATATGCTTAAAGTAGGTGGACAACCCAATGAAGAGACTATTTCCTCACCCAAAAATTAGTCAGCGCCCTACAGGCTAGTGCTCACTAAACATATTTGATATTGGCTGTCCGCAACTGTATACTACAAGTGCGTGTTTGCGTGTCTGCACACGTAGGGAGGAAGAGAGGGCAGAAGCTTCAGGAGGGAAGAGAGGAATTCCCAAAAGGGAATTATGACTTGGTTGGGAGGTACACTAACTCCTGCAGCCAAGGAAAAGTCCTAACTCCCCTAGTCAAGAACAGCCTATATATCTAATATAACTCAGCTGCAATAGGGACTAAAGAAGCAGCTGGCTAACTCTGCTTGGCACTGCCCCCTCTCCTCTTCCTTTCCCATCATTTCTGCTTCTTGATCAGAGTTGCAACGTTGTATGGTCCAGTACAAAGTTACGGCTTCTCTGGCTAGACAGATCTAGACACCTAAGACTGCTAGAATCACTGCAAAAACCCAAAAGGTTGTGGTACTGTACAACAGCTGCCCTCCAACAGTCTCCCTGCACTACTTAAGCTGATAGCATGTTTACCCTGATTATGTAGACATTCTGGGCTGAGTGTCAGCGACCTCATTTATGACTCTTCTGGGTAGATACAAAACTGTAAGGGCATGCACCCACAAAGCAGGCAGAATGTCTGGGCTCCAGAGATTCAACTCTCCAGCTTGTTGCACGCTGAGTGGTGAATACACATATAAAATCTGAATCTGGAGCATTACAGATCAGTGGCTCAGAGACCTCGTGACCCAGAGAATCACAGTTCCTTCTCTCTCTTTTCCATCTGAAAATATAATTACTGCAGCCTTTGAAGAGGTTGAGCTTAGGAACACGGGACTGCAAGGGACCACTGAAAGGGTGACTACATTCAGTTCCACCCTTATTGCCAGCAACCAAGTGATAGCAAGATATCTTGCTCAGGAAGATTGACAGAACGTGTCAATCATGGCACTACAAATACAAAATTTTTCCTATAATCTGTAACAATCAAACTGTAGTAAAATGAAAAAAACATAGCCATAAAATTCACATGCAAACAAGAAAGAAAACCAAAAGCATAACCAATATTTTAGGCTCCTGCAATAATGGAAAGTTATATAAAGAAATAAGTTGCAAATGATCCTACAGAGGAAGCCCATATCACACAGGAAAAGCAAAACAAGATACAACACTTCAGATCTTATCTGGGAATGCAATCCCTTCTGCCCTCATCTTTAGTTTAAGGTTAAGCAGGACCCACCCGTTAAGCACTTCAGGATTTCAATTACAATGACACTGCTTAATCACCTAACACTTTGCCTGTGTGCAGCCAGTACTTTACCAGAAGACGAAAAATTATGTTAAAAAGCTAATTCACAAGCCATAGAGGAGAGAAAATGATTCTCACTGACTTTAATGGAAACAAAAAAAGGTCCTGAAGCACGGCAGTAAACCTTTATTTCCCAGCTTCAGAAACTGTTTTGTTGTACAATCCCATCAATAAATACAGCAATTGACATCTAAAAATATCTTAGATCCCTTATTCCCTCCTGTGCTTGCTTGGCTTTTCTAGAATTTCACCCCTCATTACTGCTTAAGAACCTTTTTATAGTGCCTCATCTAAATTTATAGATTACCAACATGTATCTTCACTTTGTTCTCTTGAAGCATAACACATCATCTTTCTTGCCTTTGTAACTAACTCCTTGTAATTGGTGGCAAATATCAAAATCCACAAAATGGATGGCTCTCCCCCCCCACTTGCTTGGCTGTAAGAAGATCCGTATGATTCATTAAAGGGGATATACTCCCTTTTGACTTACGTAATCAATAAAACATGACTTAGATCAGCAGGTTTATGGTATTATTTCATTGCCTTAAGACATGTGCTCATTTTCCCTTTTGCAACCATAAAAACATGAACTGAAATGGTAAAATTCATTTAATTCATATTCTTAGGGTGAAAAGCTCGTTTGGTGACATTCAGCGCGAGGAGGGGTTTCATTTTCTGAGGGCTTATAGGCTCCACTATAGCAACTGTTGTGAATCTCAGCTGATACCTGAATTAAATTACATTTAACTCTAAGTCATTCTGAGTAATTTGTTACTAATAGTGAGTTTAACAGCTATTCATGTAAATCATTGTGAAAGCCTTTAAATTACTGGATTTATTCAAGTCTTTAGATTCTTTTTCAATATTAAAACCAAAATGGATTATAATCTGTTTATCCTCTTTGCCGAGGCGCCTGCAGAACAAGAAAAATAAAGTCAGTCATTTCTGTGTGAAACACATAGTGCACGATGCTCCTATCAATGGTATAAAAATATGTAAGTGAATCCATGTTTCGAGCACAATATGAAGTAGTGAAACAGGAAACTGCAATTTTTGAGTCGAGTGTATTACCTAAGAAAACACTTTAAGCATCTTCTGGAGCTTTTACTCTCCAGGAAAAGAACTTAGCATGTAAGTTTCAGTGATGTGGAAAATGTTATAGCTTCAAGGTAAAGAAAACTCAAACAAACATATGAAGGTTAAAAAAAGGTTACGAGGGCTGTGTATGTAAAACATTGTGTTGCATACTTGATAACCCCATGGATAGGCACCTGAGTATTTGCACCTTATCTCACAGGCAAGAACAATAAAAACAAAGTGATTTTAACATATTATTACAAAGCCAGAGAAAATACACTTCTTTGGGGTAAGAAGGGCTACCCATAGACAGCTAATTTACAGTCATTCAAAAACCTAGACATCCAGCATGTGTATGTACCATGTGACACCATAAAACTTAGAACTCGGCAAAGATTTATTCATCTGCTTTGGTATGTGCCCAGATAGCAGGTTAAATTAATTAAAAAACGTACATGAAGTTAACTGTGTTCTTCAGACTTTGCAGGATTCAAATCTACTTGCATGATTACATCTCAGTAACCCAAGATCACCCTTCTCAATAAGCAGACATCAGGTTCGTAGGCATATAGTTAACTACTGGTTTTCATGGTTACTGTACCTCCACCACAGTATGCTTCCCACAATTCAAAAGTTATTAAAATAAAGTCCTCATCATTTGAAACAGGCTTAAAATAAATAATTAAAAGAAAGTAGCAAATAAAAAAATAAATCAATTGCACAATTCTCAATCTCAACTTTTCCCTCCTTCTTAAAAAAAACCCACCCAAATACTACTGCTGAGATGTTTGAGACAAATATTTAAGACAGGTCGAATAAAACCTAGATCAGCATTTTCACTTACTTGTGCGTCTAGAAAACTATGGCCCACCATGAATTGAAAGTTCTGCTTGGACTTTCATCCCATTTCATTGTTAGTAGGAAGACTTAGTCACGCTGAATAAACCTAAACATTTGTCTGTATTGGGAAGATTTTCCTCTGTTTGAATGTAGCTTTGAAGCATCAAGTAAGCTAACATTATATTGATTATTACTGATAAGCCAGAGCAGAGCAAAGCAAATTGAGGTCATCCACATGTCAGGTAACCTGACTGTCTTGAAATGTGCACAGTAAGATGTGTAACACAGACCACTTAACCCTAAGAAGGTTCATCTTGTGTATTATGCTTTAATTTTGTGGGGTTTTTTCATAAAGGTTGTCTTTAGGATTTATTTCCACTTTAAATACTCAAAAGTTTTGCATGAGCCTTATGTTTTCTGAGATGAACTGGTGGTTTACATGCTAAAAAGAGTAAGTATCTCCCCGTTTGAGGAAGGTGGAAGAGGTGGAGTTGTGATCAAAATATTTCGCTTTTCTCTAATTAGAACAATGAATTAAGGTACCTGACTGATGTAGCTTTTTCTTATTAACAAGTACAGGTGTCACTATGCCAGCAAATACAATTAAAGACAGACTTTTTTAGAATATTTGATAATTAGAAAGTAGATAAATCCACCTCAGGTACAACTGCCGTACAACCTCATTACTTACCCTCTTGAAATTTTTGCCACAACAGCATACATTCCTACAGCAGAAACACATTCTTTCTTAGAACAGCAGAATATTACTATTATAAGTATTGAAATTACTATAATGAATTTTTTTTTTCCTTTTAACAGATTAACACTTTTTTGGACATACTGTGTTTAGGATTTGAACTTTCTTTTGATTCTAGCTATGCTCCCATCTAAATGAACTACTAAGGAAACTAACACATTTGCTGTCTGAAGCAAAGTTGGAACATTGACTTGTTGCACAGTGTTTACTGCAGAAACAAAACAGCTGTGGGCATTCTTAACACTCACATTGTAAGGCTACAAGGAAAAATTTGATCTGGAAGCACAGGACCCATTTTTTCAATTCTATGCAAGAGCTAACAGATGCATGCCATGACTACACATGACGTTTTTAAAAGACATTTAAGGCACTGCGCACAGTCTTTTTCCTAGCCTCCACAGGCAGAGCCTAAGCAGCATTATCAAACATAATCATTAAAAAATGTGACAAGTTAAAAAAAAAACAGAAAACCAACCCAAAACTCAAAAAACTTTGTTTGAAAGTAAAGTTTTATTATTAAAAAGGTAAAGGCCAAGGATGTTTTATTTGTCTTCTTATTTCCAAGACAGGAGGAGGTATGAGGACTTTGTATTTGTCACAAATGTAGGGCGAGGGTTCATACAAGGGATAGGTTTTGAGGGTAGGCGAGATGCGTAGGGGGGCTAAATTAAAAATCAAATATGACTGTATGACACCTACAGTTAGGGCTTTAAAAACCACCACTAACTTGCTAAAATAGTGAAGTATTGCCAATTCAAATGAAGGTACTGTCAGAAAAAAAAAGAATTGCTGAGAGGCCTACCTACAGACAAAAGAGAGGACTTCCCTTATGCGAAGCCGCAGCTAACCACTGCCTTCACACAGAACTGCAAAGCAGTAGAAATCTTCAAGCCCGTATGTCACCTTGGGAGCCTGATACAGCTCTTTTCATGCCTGCTTCTGCAACTTGTATGTCAACGATCTTGATGCCCAACGGCGAGTTACCTGCATGAAAAAATAAGAAAGGGAAGACTGATGAGAAAAGTTACCTCCTCCCCTCACAACTGCCCAGTCAAAATCGGATGGTGTGTCCGCGCAGGAAGATTTTGCTTCGCCTCAAGAACACCGGCTTGTTTCTTGAACTTGAGAATTTCTTGAACGTTTCAGAAGAAAGAAAAGCCACCCATAACAATTAACATCTCTCAGCAACCCTTGAGAGATGGGCTTACACACCATTACTTTACTCCTTCCTCACGGTTTTACACAGATTTGCGCCTCTTTGTTTATGGCCCAAATTACGATCCCGCAGTAACACCACCCTTGCAAATCTCTACACAGGCACGCAACAGTTTTGCGAGGAAACGCTGTCTAAAATGTCAAAACACAAGCAGCTCCTCAGTCTCTCCCGTAAGCAGCACCAAGCGGGATTTAAAAAGGAAAGTCCTCCACGAGAAGGGCCCCGCTAAGAGAAGTGGACTTTGTTTTAAAAAAAGAACGA